TTTCTGTGTGAATTACACACCTCACCTCACATACAGAAGAACGTTTGTGGTACTTTTTTTTGTTGATTGTCTAAGAGCAATAAAGCTATTTGTTTATCGAATAAGAGCTTTTTTAAACACATACGCACCTGCAGCTAGCTAAACTTAACAGAAACAGGCTCAAACTAAAAAACTGTAATAAGGAATTACTATAAAAGGAAGTTTCGGTTTCGGTTTCGGTTTCGGCCGAAACTGAGACAGAAACCGAAATTCGGTTTCGGTTTCGGTTTCGGTTGTAAAAACTAGTTTCGGTCGGACACTAGTAGAGAGTTAATATGTATTTTTAATTGAATATAAACTTTATTACACTGAAGAAGGTCCAAACTTGTGGACTGAAACGTTTGTGTTTTTTTGAATAAAGACTATTATTTATACACGACCAACCTGTATTTTACTGCTCGTATCGGCCTTTTAACTATTTTGATCATTTCACGAGCGATTGATTGATTAACAAAATGCAAGTTGCTCGATAGATGCGATTTATCTCGACAAAAATAATATCGCTTAGACGTCTAAAACAATTTATTGTAGCGTGTAAACAAGTTTTTGTCAAAAAAAAAAAATAAAACTTCAAGACGTAATTATAATAGTTATCTGTTTTTTTTTTTTTTTCTAACGCGGAGACGCGTAAGGTATACGGTTTTTCGCGCAGCACGCGCGTAGGATCGACCCAACTAGAACGGATTAAGGATGTAGCGTTTGTTGTAGGCGCATAGATCACGATGATGAGCCGTAACGAGTGCGTGTCGAGCGATAACATACGCTCTGGCATGGAGTATAGCGACCAACAGGAGTCAACGCGCGAGCGCGCGCGCGCGCGCGCGGGCTGCTCGAGCGAGTGCTGGTTGGAGGTCGGAGGTGTGTATTGGCTATTTCCGCAGGAAGTCCTAGGTAACCTGTAAGCGCCATTGAGGTTCTAACTGAACGTGCCACGGATCTATGCTATCGTTTCATAACATGCCAGCGCTCTGGATTCGCGCGTATCGCGCTCCCGAAACGCTAATTCGCCGATCTCCGCTCCGTGCGCGCGCGCGCGCGCGCGATACCAGCCTTTTCGCTAACTCACCAAAACGAGCCGCATTAATCCTTCCTGATTCGACGTAACAGGCATATTCGGAATTTAGGACATTCTCTCTTCAAAAGCCTCATCATTGTTCAACAGAATCTTGAAATTAATCAAGTTCCAACGTAAACCGTCGTCACGACGGAAGTATCGTTTCTCGGTCTTCTTCAATCGACAACATAATTTTTTGATAAGAACAGGAAAATTATCATGGCCCTTTGAAGCAAAAAACACTGATGATAATGTGTGTGTGATAGCAGCATTACTTTATTCAAGCACGTAATATATAAAACGTTTTCGGCCTTAGATATATTAGGCCTTTATCAATATATATATAATAATGTTGTTCTTGAATTAAAAACTTAATCGAATCACATGATTACAATTTGGAAATATAAAAGTAAATGAGGATAAATTTTTGATTTTAACCAAAGCAAAGCGTAGCATAGCATATGTTTTTGCTATAATATAGTCTTTATATGTACTTTTGACATAGACTGGCGTATGGACTACTAGTCAGTTCCGGTCCGAAGAGCCATATTTGCACCAAACCAAACCCAATCTTGAAATTATTTTTCCATGTGTGATTTCAATTCACTTTTTCCGAGATTTACGACGACATGCGCAAAATGGGGGAAATGTACTGCTGAAAAAAAAGAAACAAAGTTACAGACTTACGTTTCAACTATTCGGTCAAATTGCAAGCGTCGCATATAAATGTTCGTTAATAAAATTAATAAACAATAATATAGAAAAAGATTTATATAATTCATATACGACGTTCGGAAAGAAATGTCGGCGAAATTGATTATTTCGGTACACAAAACGAAGTTAAATTTATATGTTGTTAACCTTTTCGCTCCGGGGATTTTTCCTTTAAAATTGACCTCGCATTTTAGCTGAAAAAGTTAATAATAACCTGCTACCTCCCCCCTTCAAAGTTAATTTTGAAGGTCAAAGAAGTAACCAGGATTTTTTTCAATTTTTTTCCTAAATTTAGTGCATTAAACTGACCTTATAAACATCTATTACGTTTGCTTTTCTTGCTGGTCCATATATGGACCAGTCCCGGAGCGAAAAGGTTAATTGAAACAGGAATTCCAACTGTAAATATTTCTTATTCGTGTGGGTGGTGATAAATTTGTCGATGCTTGTTTTGCATGCAAGATAATTGTCGAACAAAAAGATACGCTTTTCAGATGCAAGACGTCTAGACTCGCACTAGCCCATCCTTTGCTCGAGAGATGCACCAACAATTCGGCTCTATTAGGCCCAATAAAGTATCAAAGAGGAGGAATGCGCCCTGATCCAGTGATACATATTATGTCCGTTAAATCGTTTGTGCGCGAGTATACGGTGTACGCGACACAACGCGCATAGCGCATGCGGGTAGATTTTTGGTGACCACTACTATAAAGTATGGTTACAACTTGTACAATGCGCTATCCGCATAATAGTTTATATAAATGACATGAGGCGATTTTTGGCGATCGTATGGTACATGTACCAAAGTGTACCAAACTATAATTTGAAGTCACTCGAACTATAGTTTGGTACACTTTGGTATATGTACCATACGATCGCCAAAAATCGCCTATGATAGTGAGAAAAAACAATAGTACAATAATATATTAAGTAATTCCTATTTAATGAAAATTTTACACCGTTCTTTGTAATTTTTATACAAAAATAATTGTTATTGAATTGTTAACATTACCTCACAAAAGTAGTCCAATTTCCAGATACAGAGGAAAGATATTGTTTCTTTAAAAAAAAACAACAAATAATACAAATATTTCGTTACGTATCTGTTGACCGCGTTCAACGGAGAGTTATCGCTCTCGTCTTGTCAACACTTGGGGGGTGCGTTCAAAAACACCACTCGTGTGCGCATGAGCATTACTGTAGCATGGTATACACACAGCAGTGGGTGCGTTCAGACAACTCAACGGTTGAGAGATCATCACTTGTGATAGGACTATTCTTTAAAATCTGAAGCGGTTCCAACAGTACGATCCAATCAGAAGTGATTATCTCTCAACCGTTGTGCAACTGTTGAGTTGTCTGAACGCACCCAGTGTGTTCCCGCTAGATGCAACTATTGGTTGTCGCTTCGTAGCAATCGGACATGATTGGCTCTTACTTTTAGAATCGATTAATCACAAAGTCGAATGTTGACAAGACACAAACTCACCAATTGTTCTGCCGAACGCGGTCAATTGGCCGTATTCATTGGGTGCGTTCAGACAACTCAACAGTTGCGCAACGGTTGAGAGATAATCACTTCTGATTGGATCATACTTTTGGAACCGCTCCAGATTTTGAAGAATAGTCCTATCATAAGTGATGATCTCTCAACCGTTGAGTTGTCTGAACGCATCCAATATCAAATTGACCATGGGTGCGTTCAGACAACTCAACAGTTGCACAACGGTTGAGAGATAATCACTTATGATTGGATCGTACTTTTGGAACCGCTTCGGATTTTGAAGAATAGTCTTATCATAAGTGATGATCTCTCAACCGTTGAGTTGTCTGAACGCACCCATTCTCAAAGCTTATTTTTCATGAAAATAAAACAAATATTGAAAATTGATCTTAAGTTTTCACAGAATTGTGTTTCATGAAAATCACTACGAGATACAGGTGATACAAGATGGAAGACGGTGACAATAAAGTGGATATCCAGCTAAGTAAAGATAGAAAATCGTATGCCGGCATACCGGAGGCCGATTTCGTCGTGAGTATTATTTATTAATGTGTAATTTATGGATTGTTTTAATATATACGAATCGTATACATTTGTACTGATTTATACAATTCAAATTATCATTCCTGAAACTCGTACTTTTCTACAATCGTTCACAGTGCTAGATCCATGCATTACTCTTTTTAATCAGTTTCTTTTTGTTAAACATAAATTTACCGCAATTTTAATGAAAAAAAATATGTCAAGAAACAAACATCTTTTTTGTTTTAATTAAAATTTGTTTTTATTCTTACATTGACTGATTAAAGACAATTTGACATCAATCTATCAAACCTTATATGGTCATTAGAGAAGAATGCTGTAACAATCTTTGTTATTTATGTTAAATTTACTCAATCACTTTTTGTAATCTTATGTTAAGATGTTCATATATGTTGTGTATCTTCAGGACGATGTTGAAGTTTTCATGGCAAAACCAGAAAATGAGTCTGTGCAGAAAGTACTCAGAAAGTTTGACGAGAGTCACGGGAAATACAAATTTATGGAGTATAATTTGGTCAATAAGAAAAGACGATTGAGAACCCAAATACCTGACTTAGAAAGGTCATTAGAAATGATTGAGAAATTACAAATGGAAAAGAACAATAGCCACAACTTGGAAACTCAGTTTTTACTGTCCGAGCAAGTTTATGCAAAAGCTATAATACCACCCACAGATAAAGTATGTTTATGGCTGGGTGCCAATGTGATGCTAGAATATACTTTAGATGATGCGCAAGAAGTATTGACCAAAAATATTGAAGCAGCCAAGAAGAATTTAGGATATGTAGAGCACGATCTGGACTTTGTTCGAGATCAATTTACCACTATGGAAGTAAACATGGCACGCATTTATAATTGGGATGTGAAACGCAAACAAGCAGCAAAATCAACATGAAACTCTTAATTGTGATTATATGAGATTTGCCTAAAATCTAAGATGGTAATTTCCTAAAGAACAGTTTTATATTTGTCTTAGTAGTCGTCTGGTTATACACATTTTATATATCTCACGTTAATAAATTATTTAAATGATCTAAATCATTTGTCATATAAATTTGTTACATTTTCCAGAATATCCATTATGAATCAAGTTGAAGAACATATAGCACCAACAAAATTTCGGATAAAGATTTCAGAAATGCATCTAATTATAAATTCTGAATACATCAATATTTCTGTATATTATTACAAATATATCTGGATTTCTAACTAAAGTTTTTGTAATTTTATTTTATTGTTTGTACATTGTATCTGTTCTCCAAAACCTAATAAAAAATATTATCTTACATTAAAAAAAAAAAAAAAACAAAATTAAAACGTGTGATAGATTTATACATATAAAAAAACCATATTTTAAAAATACTGGTATAATTTGTAATAAACGTAGAAGAAATATTTATTTGAGCTTTTGAGATCTGTACAAACGTCACTTTGTTAAGTACATGTTTGAATGTTTTAAATGGCGAATTCTTGTCCTCCGAAAAGAAACTGCATGAAAATTATAATAGCTAAATGTATATTTTATGACAGAGTGATGATACTAATGAACATGTAGCGGAATGTTTACACAGATTTCGTAATTTGTCTTATATTCTATTACAAATTTACATGTTTGCATTTAATAGTAAGGCACATCTGAGAGATGCTGAGGTATGCTGACTTTTTACAGCCACTGTCCAAAAACAAAAGACTAGCATAAATTTGTTGAGTACATAAAGAATTATAAAATTATCCATTAAAGTTACTCTGTCGTCACTCCTTCTTTCTGCTCATATTTTGACAATTTTAATTTTAATTCTGATACTTTGGCTTTTGACTCCTCCAGTTCTTTCTTCAGGCTTTCAATTTCCGAAGGACTTTCTACAATATTTCCAAGACGTTTGTGTATGTAACTACAATGTGCGGATAAGGAAATTTAACTTTTACATAATATTTAATAGATAAGCAGATATTTCTCGTACAAATAACACATTCTTCCGCACAAACACAGTTTATATATTTTTTATATGAGAATATACTTATTTTAAATATTGTTTCTTAAAACTTATGATACAAAATGCTAAAGAATAGATCTTTAACATTATTGTTAAGAAAAGGATACTCCAAAGCATCGGCTGGTTTTTCTGATTCTTCATAAAGCGATACAAGAATTTTTGTGAGAGCATCCATGACACCAGCCCTCTCCAGATATTGGCGAAACTCTTCTCGTTTAATAGAGATCGACTATAACCAAAAAATATGTTCTGTACTTTTCTCTTCAAGCAATATAATCGCAAATATAATCTTATAGAGTTATGTATATACACATAACACAATAAAACTATTTTGATATTTATTTGTCAAATGAAAAGATCAAAACAAAGAGAAAAAAAAGTATGAATTAAAATATAACTAGACAAATAAAATTTCATACATAATAAAAACTACAATTATAGATTAGCAATGTTTTTTAGATAATGAGATAAATTTTCAATTGTTTATTGTGATGCGATTAAATGTTAATGATGGTCAGTTTTAACAAGTTTGGTTAATTCACAAGCAGTTGATCACTTTCAATGAAATAGCTGATCACTGTATACAATAACTCTTAAATTAACCTTGGCAAAACTGGCCTAGTGTTTAGTTTTTTTTTTCATTATTCAACATACATATCTGTTTTCAATAGTCAACATAATTAACCACCATTTTGTCTTGGAAAAAAGGCTTGATTCTTCGAACGACCTTATAGCTTAATATATCTGTTACCCCCTCGACACCGACAAAATACAATAAACAAGTAACAAAACAAATATAACACAGACGCAAAAACCAGTACAAAAAGTAAAACCATAACCGGCACACAAATTGTCTTGACTTTAGTGACTTTTTCACAAAAAAGAACAAATTAATTAATTGACGAATGAATTAATTAGATGCTTACCATTTTAACGAAGTTTTATTTGTTTCTTAATTCTCGAGTTTTCCCTTGAGAAAATAATTTTCAATAAACCCAAGTCAAAACAGTAGGTTTTCGTCGAATCAATGCTTATGTCGTTCGGCAAAGAGCGCAAACAAAGTCAAAATAACGCGAGTCTCTTATTTACGCCCCACCCAACGAATTGCCACCAAATAATTCCTAGATATTTGATGCGTTCAGCGGAACAAGCCGCTTTTGTAGCAATCGAACGTGATTGGATCCTACTTTAGAACCAACTAATCAACGTCGATTGTCGACAAGACGACAACTCAGCAATTGGTCTGCGAATGCGGCCATTAAATATGGAAATTTTCGTATTCGCGGGATATTTCGCGCGCTTATTCAAACTGTTGACAATGACCACGGGTACGTTCAGACAACTCAACAGTTGCACAACGGTTGAGAGATACTCACTTCTGATTGGATCATACTTTTGGAATCGCTTCAGATTTTGAAGAATAGTCCTATCATAAGTGATGATCTCTCAACCGTTGTGCAACTGTTGAGTTGTCAGAACGCACCCCACGTTCAGCAGACTGAGCAGATCAGTGGTCTAGTTTCCACCGAAACCCTCAATTCGGTTTCACTACGCTACGGATTAAATTTAGTGTTCCGTTTCCATTGGAAGTAGAGTACTTATAGATCAAGGCTGTGTTCAGTTAAGCAAGATGGAACAAACTAATGGAGGAAATGCAGGAAATACAGGAATTCATTAGTTCCAATTCCTGTATTTCCTGCATTTCCTCCATTAGTTCGTTCCATCTTGCTTAACTGAACACAGCCCAAAGCGGAAGCGAAATCAGCGCAATTTGACAGGTTTCCATCGACTTAAATTTGATTCTACGTCGCATTAGGTGTGAATTAATGCTTCGGTGGAAACTAGACCAGTGTGATCGCTTAGTGATTCTTTAATATGATTGAATCTTGCCTTTAGATCTTAGCTGGATCTAAGTGTAGAAACCAATCATATTGAAGAATCACTAAGGCCTGGTTTATGCGGGCAATAACTGTTAACTTATGCCGGAACCGGTAGAGTTTAACTATAGGATTCCAATACTTCTGTTTATACGCATTCGGCAATTTTGTATAAACAGAAGTATTAAAATCATATAGTTAAACTTTACCGGTTCCGGCATAAGTTAACAGTTATTGCTCGCATAAACCAGGCCTAAGCGCTCACTGATCTGCTCAGTCTGCTGAACATGAGGTGCGTTCAGACAACTCAACGGTTGAGAGATCATCACGTATGATAGGACTATTCTTCAACATCTGATGCGGTTTCAAAAGTACGATCCAATCATAAGTGATTATCTCTCAACCGTTGTGCAACCGTTGAGGTGTCTGAACGCACCCAATATCAAATTGACCATAGGTACGTTCAGACAACTCAACGGTTGAGAGATCATCACTTATGATAGGACTATTCTTCAAAATCCGATGCGGTTCCAAAAGTACGATCCAATCATAAGTGATTATCTCTCAACCGTTGTGCAACTGTTGAGTTGTCTGAACGCACCCAGTATTTACTGCTGGAAAATACCGTCCCTCTTACCCCTAGCTCCCCGCGTCCACGAATTGATTTATTGACGCCGACTGTACAATTATGTCAAATTCTCAAACATCCATACGAGAGAGCGGGTTTGCGCGCGCATCAGTTGAACTGCGCGCGCAAGATAGAATCAAGATGGTGGACGTCGTGTTTTTTCCTCTCTTCAATGACGTTTAGTTTTAGTTGTTGTTTATTGTGTTGTCACTTTTCGCGTAATTGATCGCGGTCGTATCGCAATTGAATGTGTGGTTTAGTTGACGATTATCCGGCGATATCACATGAATAAAGTGCGCGTCGCACGATGTGGCACGGCGGAGGACGTGAGTTTTGGTTACGTGCGCTTGTGACGTGCGCGATCGGTGCTTGCTCGATTATTGGCGATTTCGCGTTGAAGTACGGTAAGACCGAATTGGAGCGCGCGCTATTTGACAACATGACGCACGCGACAGTGGGCGGCCTCACGTGGATGCTGATTGTTATCCTGTCCCGGAAACCAGTCGCTCGTAATCTGACCAGCGTATTCTCTTGCTTTTTGCTGGCGTCTCTTATCGACGTGGATCACTTTATCGCGGCGCGCAGTTGGCATATTCATGTGTGTAAATTAGTTTAGAATCTTAGCTTTATATATATATGTATATATATATACAACGGAACTCATTCTGCTTGTTAATAAAACAGACGATAATAACTAGAAATTTTGTTACGGTACAAGAAATGTTTTTGTCAAAAGTTATTATTTGTAATCTTGTTACTCAGTAATTTCAAATGTAGGGTTTTAAATTTTATTTTTTTTCTTTGGTTTTATTATTATTCAAGTGAAATAGAAAAACAATTAATATAAATAGAATTCTCCAAATTTGAATCATTGAAATTGCAGAAATATATATATATAATATATATATATATAATATATATATATATAATATATATATATATAATATATATATATATATATATAAAATATATATATAAAAATATATATATAAGAAAGTGAGAATGATTTTTAACAAAAGATTATAACAAAGAATAACAGAAGTGCAAATGTTTAATAGATATTGCAAATTTTTAATTTATATAAAAAAGCGAAACTATACATAAAAATTAACAAAATTCAGAGAAAGTATTTTATTATCATTCCAGGATGCCACGCATTTGCAGAAACGGCCATTTCTACACTGCACTACAATTCCTATTCTGCTGTGGATACTTTTTATTTCACTCTCGAGTATTTTTCACTCTCCTGTGTTAGAGCATACCTCCTGGTTGATCCTTGCCGCCTTCCTAAGTCATCATATCCGGGACGGTACCAGAAGAGGTTTGTGGTTTTGTCCTTTCGGCTCCACACGTCCCATTCCCTACTATTTATACTTGAGTCTTTGTATGTTCCTTCCTTATGCGTTATATTGGCTCATGAGCCTACACACATTTGCGCGGAAGAGTGATGACAGTATCACTCTTATCGATGTATGAAACTTTTGATTTATAACATGTCTCACACATATAAAAATGTCCAAACAACAAGTGAATGAAATTCACATTAAATTTACGAATTTTTTGTTTTAAGTATGTACAAAAACTAATAAGTAATTAGTACTTGTTGGTTAAGAGCGCTAACTTATTAGAAACTTAAAAAATTAAAAGCTCTCTGTGAAAATAGATATAAAATTTTAGGTTTGTTAAAATTTATAATAAATTATATATTTACGATAGATCTTTCACATACTTTGTCAAATGTGATATTTAATATATATAAAATGTTCAAAGGAGCCATATATGTATATAAAATTAGGTATTACGGTTAACGGTTGCGATAAATATTTTTTTAAAACACGGTTATTGGAAATTGTACAAGACTTTACACGCGTGTCCAATAAATTATCTTTTTATAATACATTTCAAACACATACAATGTTGTGCTGCGCAGAATATCGTGTGTAGCAAAATTTTATCAATATCAAAGAATATTTTTATATACACTATATCAAGAGAATATTTTTGGATTGTTGTCAAGAAAAATTATTTCTTTCTCGATGATAAAACAAATTATAGTGTGATAATAAAACTTCCAAAAAAATATACTTTTTAGCCAGCCGAATAGCGTCAATATGCAAAAAGCGTAATTTTTATTTTTTCACCAGTTAATGTACCGATAATATGTAACACATGATTTAACGATCTCTGTTCATTATTTTGTATAATTGTAAAAGTTAATTACGAGCGTGCGTGATCTTTGACAATATATGATATGTGTAATATATACATGACAACAAAACGACGAGTTATATATCGTCGCTTGCGCGAGCAAAAGGGAAAGTTCGAATAAAATTTTTCCAAGTTGCGGATGGCAACTTGGTATAACACATTTACGTGGCGCGCACATATACGCGCATACATAATAATTTGTACACTAGCCTGTTGCAGCTGTGCATAGTTTATGGGCGAGTCCTACGTGCATTCTTCTACCTGCATTTTTACAACTCGATACCGCACACCGTCCACCACTTTTTTTTATGCAAGACGTTAATGATATTTGTACGTACACATATTAGCTGTGTTATAAAGAAAGTTGTCTTTAAAAATATTTCTACAATAAATTTTTACGTTTCTTCCGAAGATGTGATGGTGTCATTTTCCAACATTCGCTGTAAGAAGAGAAACTGATCGTGCGAAATTTTCCGCGTTGATATTTTCTCTCGTCGTTAATAATTTACGGAGGTAATGTTATTGTCGCATAATGATCGCCGTAGTAACGACTTCGGCTACTTTGTATCTTATGCAACTTTTTAGCATTCCCGCCCACGTGACGCGACGCGTCTCTTCGTGAAGGTGAGAGCTGCGGAGGAGGACGCGCGCGGATGCCCCCGCGAGACAAACCGCGCACGTGTGTACACACAACCCGTGATCGGAGTCGCGCTCTGGAGGGGTTTATCAGCATTCGGCATTGCTTAGCTGGCACTGTTACCACCGCCGCTCTGCCTCACCTAGCTCACGGCGGTCTCGCTTAGTGCTCATTTAACTAGTCGACTGTTCCACACCTGTTGAACAAACAGCGCAGGTCGCCCAGATCGTTGAAAGCCTCTACCGATCGAAAGTCTGAAGGTCCGCGACTTCGCGCATGTTTGTTTGTTTTTTTTTTTATTTTTGTTTTTTTTTTTTTTTGAGCGGAGGGCACGTCTCCGTCACGTGATTTTATTCTTTATTATTACCGCAAGTCGAACGAATTTCTTTTACGGATCGTAATTCAGATCCAAATTTGTATTTTTCAATCCGGATTTTCCGATTGATTGCGAAACCGCGAGAAAAAAAAAAAAAACTCGATGAAGATCTTTTTCAGCATCTTAGGATTTTACAATGTCATCGTTTTCCGAAGAGATATGTGAATGTTCGCCGCGATAACGCTCTGATATCGGTATCTTGAAGACGCGGGCGCGACTTCATCTTACGCAGACGACATTGTGCGCGAGGCATGACAACACGACGTTCGCGGGGGATTCGGCCTGTTGAATCATACCCACGATGGTAAGTATTATACATAGTTACTGTACTTACTGTGTTTATATATATATATATATATCACACGCGAGAACTATCGTGAACACGATAGCAACGTACGGTCCCTGACCGCAAATTGTCACAAATATACACGCGCGCGCGCGCACGGAATATCGTATACGCGATCTTTTTCTACTCAGCGGAATTCCTGAACGTGTTTTGCCTCGCCGTCTCTGATGAAGCATTTGGAATTGGCTCGAGTGCCGTAAATAGCGTGTAAATCGCTTTTTGTCGTCGATTATTCGCGTTATCAAAGTGATTATATCTTTTGACGTAGATTTATGACGAAGCTGCCGTTAATTGGTCTATTTTTATCCTTATCGCAGGTAGGATTTTTTTATTTCTCTCCGTCTAACGATCATTAATGTTGGAAATGGTATAATTTTTTATTTTTTTGCATCGTAAATTCGAATCTTGTTTTTTTAATCAAATATATAAGTTTAACATTTTTTATACAATTTTTTTTTATCATACAATTAGGTAATAAATATTTTATATGTTA